GGGCTCAGGTGTTCGTCTTCCTGGGGCAGAGGCTGGACTAGAAGTTTCCTTGAAGGCTCTGCCAGATCTAGGATTCCTAGACTTAACTGTTTGATTTGATTCTAGGATTTTCCCAGGCAATCAGCCAGTATATCCTGCATGTCCAGCAGGATTCTAGAACCATCCCAAAGCAGGCCTGAACTAGGTTCAAGAGGCCCAGCCCCAGGCCAAGGTCTGGGGCCTCCAGGCCCTCACCGTGCCCTGCCAGTTTCCCCTGGAGCTCAGCCCAGGTGCCCTGTAGGGAAGCCCCTTGTCGGGGAAGGAGCTCCCTGGTGGAGGCTAAGACAGCTGATAGGCTGAGTCCAGAGGCACTGGGGTGTACATCCTGACCCCTCTCAGGGCCTGGGGTGGCTGCCATTTCCGGCTGTACTCTTCCCACCCCAGCTGCTTCTCTAAGGTTGCAGCGGAGGTGGGTGTGGGTGAGATTCATGAATCTTCACACGGGCTCTGTCACCCCTCCCCAGCACTAGACCCAGCAGGCCTGCCATTGGCTGCTACTCCTTCTTGAGAGAGAGAGCAAGCGAGCAAGTGAGCAAGTGAGCGGGGCCACTTCCCCTTGCTCTCTGGCTGGTGGGGGTGGGAAGCAGAGACTGCTCTAGACACTCCTGGGCCCTAAACCACAGGGGAGCTGAGCTGGAGAAAAGAGTCTGAGAAAGAGCTGTCACTTTGACACTGGGACCCAGTGCCACCTCAGGTGGAGGTGCCCAGGAGCACACAGAAGCTAGAAGTCCCCTTCTACTTTCCCAACATCAATGAATTACCCGGATGCTGTGTTGGGAGGGTGGGTCTCTGGGCTTTCCCCTAGGCCTCTCCCAGGAGAAACCAGGCCCATGTTGCATTCTGAGGTCCACGTCCTGTAGGGGAGGGTAACCCAGGCCAACCCCACTCTACCTCACCCCACCCCTGCCATAGCCAGGATGAGCTTGCCTCCACACACTCTCAAAGCCTCATGCTGTGGAAATTCCCTTAGCCTGAGTGACCTTCCAGACAGCCAAGCGGAGGCGAGAACAAGCCCTCCAGGATGATGGGGTTGTGACGGGGCACCTAATCTAGATCAGGAAGGACGGGGGAGGCCCTGGGGTGAGGTGGGGGGATGCCCTTCAGCTGATTTTTGGAGACATTTTGCCTCCTTCAAAGTCTCTCTCTAGCTGATATTTCATAAGGTAGAAGAGCATCTTCCCCAGCCCAGAGTCAGAGGGCTTAGTCCCATCATGGCTTGCACGGATAACCTTGGGGAAGTCCCTTCCCCTCAGAGGCTGGGGTGACGTAGGGAGGGAAAAGTACACAGGCAAGAGAAGCCTCTCTCTCCTGCCCCTGCTTCTCCTCCTGTGCCTGCCAAATGGAGAGCGTGCTGGGCAGGGGGCAAGAAATCTGAGCTAGAACCCTGTTGCTATCACTTTCTAGAGAGCTGTGGAACCTTGGACAGTTCATTTATCTTCTTCGGGTTTCAGTTTGCTCATCTCTGAAAAAGGGGCTAGCTCCCAATCTCCTCACCTCAGGAGGTTATATGGTTCGCCTGGGACAACAAACGTGAGAAGACTGTGTGGCCCGCAGGCATGCCCACACGAAGGGGTGCATACTGACAGCCTGGGCAGGGCTGGGAGCACACTGCAGAGAGGAACGAGCCACGGTTCTAGCCCTGAAGTTGAATAAACGAGACCTAATAGCACAAAGAGCCACCACTGAGTGAGGGCTCCTCAGGAGCCAGGCACTGTGCTGTGCACTTTTTCCAACTCTTAGCTCATTGACTCCTCAAGACAACCTGAGGTCAGTGCAGATACTGGTATTATCCTTATTTTACACCCGGATCTCAGAGAGGTGAAGGCATTTGCCCAATATCACACAACTAGTAAGCTGCAGAGCAGGGATTCAAGACAAGATTTGTCTGACTCCACGGTCTTAACCATTTCTCTCTCCACTTTCTTGTCACCTCACTGATCTCAGAAGCTCTAGAAAAGTCTAAGGAGCATAAAAGACTCAACTCAACTCATCAGTGGGAGAGTTCTGTAGGGCAGATCCAGATGGCAGTGGAATAAGTGATCTTCCAGACAGCCAAGCAGAGGTGGGAGCAGGCCCTCCAGGATGGTGGGGTCCGGATGGGGCACCTTTCCCAGCTCAAGAAGGATTAGGGAGGCCTCAGGGTCAGGGGGACATACCTCTCGGCTGCTCTTTGGAGACGTTTTGCCTCCTTCAAGGTCTTTCTACATTCTCTTTGATCTGATTTCCCCCAAATGCTAGTGTTGGTGTGTAGGAAGGTAAAGGGATTTGTCCTGAGACTTGCCTCCCTTAAGGATGATCCTACCCCACCTCACTCCCACTTTCCACCACACCCCAGATCTCCCACCAGGGGAAATGGAGAGGAGTGCAGGCTCCTGTTCCAGTGCTCAACTTTTCCCTCCTTGCAGTCTCTTCTTGCCCCTGTTTCGCCCATTCCCACCACACTACTTCCCCCCATGTTTCCCTTCCTTCAGCACCCCTCCGGCCAGGACACACGCACCACCAGCATGCACTTAGTCTTGTCGGTAGCTCCCTATCGCCCACAGGGTAAGGCCCAAGATCCTTAGCATGGCTGGCACAGACCTTCCTGGCCTGGCCCCTGCTTACCTTTTCTGCTCCACCTCCCACCACTCCCGTTTGCATACTCATTCCTTCACACGAGGAATGGCTCAACTCTCTCTTGTTCAGACCCTTCCACCCTCCACCTGGAGAAACCCTGGTTCCCCTTCATGCCCCAGCTCAAATGTGCCTCCTCCATGAAGCCCTCCTGAGGCCTTCCTCCTCCGTACTCTCACTTGCTCTCCTTGTAGCTCTGTGCAGATGCCACCCACATCGGCACTGCACTCAACTCACTTCTATACTGGTGGGCTACTTCCTGAGCTCTGAGGGGGTGTGAGCACAGCACCATGCACAGGCTTCCAGAAACACAGACCTGGGTTTGGACCCCTGCTCTTCCTGCTGCTACCTGCTGATCATTTCTCTGAGACTCAGTCTTCTCAGCTGTGAAGTGGGAATGGAACAAGGCGCTGTGGTGAGCGGGTGCACCCTGAAGCGCTTAGCAGAGTTCCGGGTACAGGGGAGGTGTTTAACCCCCTCAGATTAGCTTCCTGGGAGTGCCATAACAAAGGACCACAGACTGGGTGGCTTAAAACAATAGAAATTTATTCTCTCACAGTTCTAGAGGCTAGAAGCCCAAATTCACAGTGCCGGCAGGGCCATACTCTCTCCGAAGGCTCTAGGGAAGAGTCTTCCTTGTCTCTTCCAGCTTTTGGTGGCCCCAGGCGTTCCTTGGCTTGTTGCAGCATAACTCTCTGTCTCTGTCTTCACATGGCCATCTTCCCTCTGCATCTGCCTGTGTCCGTGTCTCTTCTTCTCTTTTTATAAGAGCACCAGTCATAGTGAATGGCATAGTGGTTAAGAGCTCGGCTGCTAACCCAAAAGCTGGCAGTTGGAATCCACCAGCCACTCCTTGGAAACCCTATGGGGCAGTTATGCTCTGTCCAGTAGGGTCGCTATGAGTCGGAATCAACTCAATGGCAATGGGTTGTGTTTTCTTTTTTTTTTTTTTCCTATTCCAGTCTGACCTCGTGTTAACTTAACTAATTACATCTTCGAAGACCTTATTTCCAAATAAGATCACAGTCACAAGTACAGAAGGTTAAGACATCAACATATCTTTTTTTTTTTTTTGAGGTAAAATATATATAACATAGAATTTACCATCTTAACCATTTTTAAGTGTACAGTTCAGTGGCATTGATTACATTCACTATGAACGTGCCTTTTGTGGGGGCACAAATCAACCCATAACACCCCTCGTTTCTGGATTCCTTCCCCCACACATAGGCCAGTGCCGGCGCCCAGAGGGTGCTCGGTGTATGACTTTTACACTGAAGGAGCTGACAGGGCAGTTGCAGAGACACCTGGAAGAGCCAAGATTGCTTAGGAGGCAGGGGAAGGGGGTCCCAACCATGCAGGGTGAGACTCGAGGGCACGTCAGGGGAGGCCATCTGCAGGGAGGCAATGCCTTTTAAACTGGATTCAAACAATCTTTTTTAGATGTAGTATTTTTACTATAGTAATATATATGTATGTATATATATACCATAATAAAATGTATAGGAGTCCTTGGGTGGCACAGTTAAGTACTCGACTACTAGCCGAAAGGTTGACTATTCAAACCCACCCCGAGGTGCCTCAGAAGGCAGTCCTGGTGATCTGCTTCTGAAAGGTCATTACTTGGTCCCTTACCCCAAGGGTAGCCACTATCCTGACTTCTAACAGCACACATTAGTTTTGCTGCTTTTTTTTTTTTTAATTGTGCATTGGGTGAAAGCTTACAGAGCAAATTAGATTCCCATTGGATAGTTTATACATAAAGTGTTCCGTGACATTGGTTTCATTCCCCATAATGTGTCAGCACTTGCCCCATTTCCGCCCTGGGTTCCCTGTTTCCTTTCGTTGGGATTGTCTACCCCTTCCTGTCTTCTCATCTTTGCTTTTGGGCAAATTGTTGCCCTTTTGAGCTAGTATAATTGATTGTTCTAAGAAGCACGTTCCTCTCGGGTGTTATTGTTTATTTTATAGGCCTGTCTACGGTTTGGCTGAAAGGCAGTCTCTGGGAATGGCTTCAGTTACCGTTCAGAAGGGTGTCTTAGGGCCATAGTCTCGGGGGTTACTCCAGTCTCTGTCAGACCAGTAAGTCTGGGCTTTTTTGTGAATTTTGATTTTTTTGTTCTACAATTTTTCTCTTGCTCTGTCTAGGACCCTCTGCTGTGATTGGAGTCAGAGCGGTTGGTAGGGGTAGCTGGGCACCATCTAGTTCTTCTGGTCTCGGGGTGGTGTCGGCTGTGGTTCATGTGGTCCGTTAGTCCTTTGCACTAATTGCTCCCTGGAGTCTTTGGTTTCCTTCACTTTCCTTTGCTCCAGATGGGAAGAGACCAACAGTTGTGTCTTAGATGGCCACTTGCAAGCTTTTAAGACCCCAGATGCTACTCACCAAAGTAGGATGCAGAACATTGTCTTTCTGAACTATGTTATGCCAGTTGGTGTAGATGTCCCCCCAAATCTGTGGTCCTTTGCCTTTGAGCCTAGGATCTTCATCCCACAAGGTGTTTGGTTAGGTTTGCGGTTTTAAAAATTTTATATATGTGGAACCATACAGTCTGTGCTCTTTTGTGGCTGGCCCCCTTTGCTCAACATCCTATTTTGAGACTCATCCATATTGTGGGGGACAGTTGTACTAATCTCATTGCTGCGTACTGTTCTCTTATATGACTGTACCATAATTAATTTGTTCATTCTACAGTTGATAGGTACCTGGGTTGTTTTCAGTTAAACTGGATTTTGAAGGAGGGGAGAAACTATGGTTGACAGACAGAAGGGAAGAATGTTCCAGGTGGGGAAATGCCCTGATAAGAGCCTGGAGGTGGGTCACATGAAAAGCTAAGTTTGAACTCACATTTGACCAGGGATAGTTATGTACCAGGCACTGTTCTAAGCGTTCTGTGTGTACCCACTCATTTCATCCTCACAATACCCCTATGAGGTTGGTGCTACGGCCTTTGTTTTACTGACGAGGAAACAGAAGCCCAGAGAAGTCAAGTAACTTACTCAGGTTTGCACAGCTAGTAAATGGCAGAACAAAGATTTGCACCCTTGCCATCTGAAACCATGTGAAGAAACTGAGGCTCAGAGGGGTTAGGTAACTTGCCTAAGGTCACACATCCCAGAGTTGAACTCAGTAATGTCTGATGCCAGAAATGTAGCTCCATCCAAGAGGCCCACATACTCCCCTTAAAACATAGAAGAGGGGCCGACAGTGCACAACAGTGTATGTGACCTCTAGGAAGCCCTCACCCCAAAGGAAGGTCAGGCAGAAATAAAAAGGGACTCCAAGTTTTCAAGTCATCCTTGGATGGGGTCACTTCAGGGTCATTATAAAGGCACTCAGAACATTTGGGGCTGCCCCTGAGGGTGGAGGTAGGCCCATTAAAAGGACACCCTGGCTGCCCCCTACCCTTAGTCATCCAAAGAACCCGCATAATCCTTTCCACTTCCCTGGGCTGAGGAGAGGCCAGCTGGGCTCAAGCCCCAGCACCATCTCCATGGCCCCTTTGATTGTCCCCTCCCACTTTGTGGGAAAGCTGGTAATGATGGGCCCTAAAACAGGATCCTGGGAGCCAAAGGCCACTCCTCCCAGCCCTCAGACGGTGGATTACTGACAGGAAAAAGCCAAGGGAAAGAGCTGCAATTAGAGGGCAGCCGGGCAGTGAGTTTACTCTTCCACAACAAACCCTACCTCCGGCTCCACATTTGCCCTCCAGCTTGCTTTCCAGGCTCACTCATCCCTCAGGCTTCAGGGGTGACTCCCAGCCTCCTGGTCTACAGAGCAGTCTGAAGGGTGGTGGAGGGAAGGCCACAATAGCCCCCATCAGTCTATAAATAGCAGCCCAGCCCGCCCTCCTTAGGCTCAGGCTAGCTCAGTGCCCACCCTCTCTCTATTCCCTCTTTTCCATGCAATAAGAGGAGGAAGTTATCCCGGCAGCTGCATCCTAGCTATACAAGGGGAGGAAATAAGTGGGAGATGGAGGAGAGAAGGGGAAAGAAAGGGAGAAAAAGAGGAAAGACTAGTGGCAGGAGAAAACCAAGGAAGGAGGATGGAGGTGATGTGTGGGAACAAGAACAGTCACCCCACGGTCAGACTTACCCCTTCCTACCCCCATTCACAGCCCCTTTTCCCAGCTCCCCACTGTAGCGCATAAGAGCCTTTCTGACTGAGGCTGCAGGTGCCACACCCGTGAGGTCCTCATGGTGGTAGCGTTGGCTTGGCCTGACCGCTAACCTAGTTTCTGGTCAACTACCTTTGTGGGCCCTCTAGGAATGTGTGGCCCCTGAGCCCTGACTGCTGCCTTGGCTTTGGTTAAGACCCACTGAGAGTGCTAAACTGCTACACTGCAGTCCCCAGGAGTTGGGGCCAATTGTTTGTGTGTTGGGAGCAGAGTGGCAGGTGATATTGCCCCTGCCCTGGAAGCTTGTCATTGGACCCCCCCTCCCATTTAGTAGGAAAGAGGATGTGAAACTTTCAGCTTTGTGTGAGTTTGGGGCTTCAGTTCCTCAAGCCCTTATCTCGGGTGTCTGCAGTCTATCCCACTCTATCTGTCTGGCCATCTGTGAACCCTGGTTCCTGTGTGTATCTTCTGGTCTTGACTGTTTAGCTTGATACAGGTTCAGCCTCAACTTCTTGTGTCCAAAGCCTGCCCTCCTTACCTACCTTGCCCTGGTTTCTGGCTGCTATCTTGGCATGTGCATGAATATACAGTTAAGAAAGCTCATTTCCTGAAAACAGCATCATCAACAAAACAATCGGTCGTGCCTAAAAGTTTGAACACAGGAAAACACCAAGAGTAGCCACTCATCACGTTAGTGGCTAAGGTTAAAAGCTGATATGAATAAAGAGAAAATGGTGATTTTCTTTTACTAAATTAGCCCCAAGTATTTGTGTCCCAAATCTTTGGGCACCTTCTGTGAATAAGCCTCTGCTGTACTATGAGTCGGAATCGACTCGACGGCAGCAGGTTTAGGTTTTTGGTGGTTTACCAGTAACTGTAATGCGAGGTCTTGCTGGCTTCTAGTGGGATTGCCTAGCTCTTCTTGAGACACAGATTTATCAGCCTGGAGGCCCCAGTATGTTTAGCCCTATCAATGTGATTGGAGACCATGCTCAAAGCACGCCAGAGCCACAGGGTTTGGGAGAGAGATTTACTCTTAGTTATGTAAAGGTAGGAGTCTCTGGGCAGTGCAGATGGTTAACACACTCAGCTGCTAACCAAAAGGTTGGAGTTTTGAGTCCACTGAGAGACACCTCAGAAGAAAGGCCTGGTGATCTACTTCCAAAAAATCAGCCATTGAAAACCTCATGGAGCACAGTTCTACTCCGACACATGGGGTCACCATAAGTCGAAACTGACTCCACAGCAACTGGTAACTGGTATATAAAGGTGATATTCTTGTATGCGCTGAGCTATGTCTTTAGTAATAGAAATATATTTACTCTGACTCATTTAGCCTTTCACTCTAGGGTTCTAGGGTTATAAACACCCAGATTCAGGTACTGGTGGAAATTTGGGCTTAGTCTGAGGCCTGGGCAGGAGCTTGGTCTGTGGCAAGGTCAGGGGCTCATTCAAGGCTGAAGAACAGCAGGAAGCCAGGTAGCTATAAGGACATCTTGGTGTTTCACCTCATTCCCTCTGTGCCCTCTGGCCACATGTGGCTCTGCCCAGCCCTGGGGTATGGGGGGGGGATGAGGGGGTGGGTGATGGTGGGGAACAGAGCTTTCCTTGGGCAGTCATTTCAATGCCACTGATTTCAACACCTCTGCTTCTTCCAGCTGTCACTTCAGCGCTCCAGCAGCTTCAAGGATTTTGCCAAGTCCAAGCCCAGCTCCCCTGTGGTGAGCGAGAAGGAATTTAATCTGGATGATAATGTGAGTTTCAGAGCCTCCTTGGGGGATCTGGCTGCAGGCCCTGGATAGGGAAGTGTGGGGGTAGGAGAGGGGATTTTAGGATTGTTGGGGTGAGGCCTCCCTGAACACAGAAGCCCAGCTCTCCCGCCCACCAAGATTCTAGTCCCTAAGAAGTGACCTGAATTCTTTCATGTTACGAATTAAAGAGGCCCCTGGCAGAGGATGGAGGCTAAGGACAGGACTTGTTGTTGTGTGCTATCAAGTTGATTTCAACTATAGCGACCCCATGTGACAGAGTAGAACTGCTCCATAGGGTTTGTTGGCTGTAATCACCAAGTCTTTCTCCCATGGAGCCACTGGGTGGGTTTGAAGCCCCAACCTTTAGGTTAGCAGCTGAATGGAATGCTTAAATAACCACTGCAGACAGGGCTAGTGTTAAGGTTTAAGGGGATGGGGGCCTCTCAATCCCATCCCTTCTAGCCTCAGCTATGAACAGAAGGCCTCCTTCTGCCTCCATGTTCTGGACCCAGGCAGGGCCACTAGGGTCCCTGTACCTCTCTCTTTGTTTCCATAGATTCCGGAAGATGACTCAAGTGTTCCTACTCCAGAGGATGCTGGGAAGAGTAGCAAAAAGCTGGGGAAAAAGTGGAGGGCAGTGATTTCGAGAACCATGAACAGGAAGATGGGCAAGATGATGGTGAAGGCCCTGTCGGAGGAGATGGTGAGGCCTGGGGGGCAGAGGCGGGGGGGGGCAGGATATAGGCACCATTCTGGCAGGATGTGAACGTGGCTACCTTGACAGCCACTGCTCAGGTATGACACCTGAAAACCCTATTAAATACAAGAAGGGAGGTCACATGGGACGGGGAGCTCACGCTGTGCCATGGACATCAAAGCAGGGCACAGTCCTGAGGGAGCAGGACTCTGGCTGGAAGGGATGGGGTTTGAGGAGAGATGAAAGTCTGGGGAACAGAAGCTTCCTGGGAAGGCGGGCATGAGGGGAGGGGCCGCTGAAAGGGAGATGAGATTGCCTGAGGCCAATTCATCCACCGAAAAGTTTTGCTTGGAACTAGCTCCTGGGATTGAGAGGGCCTGACTTGAAGAGACTCCCAGGGTGAGAAAAGAGATGAGCCTGGCTTCTGTTCAGGGAGGAAGGATGGCACAGACATAGCTGTAGGGCAGGCATATCCCAAGTAGCTTAAAAGCACACAGTGAGTCTGGTGTGCTTGTGGCTCTTTCAGAAGACGTTGAGGCCATGGTGTGCTGGAGCCGGCTTGTACCAGCTCATACCAGCTCGCAAGAGTCATTGGTCAAATTTTCAGGAATTTTTCGAGCCAGTTGTTAAACACAGCCATTATGAAAAATTAAAATTATATATACCTACAATTAAACTAATTATATTAAAAAGTAAGATAATAAGTACTCAAAACTCATCACTTCCTAATTCTTGTACTACATTTACTATCATCTATGCTCTTGAGGGAAACTCTGGTGGCGTAGTGGTTAAGAGCTTGGCTGCTAACCGAAAGGTTGGCAGTTCAGATCCACCAGGCGCTCCTTGGAAACGCTATGGGGCAGTTCTACTCTGTCGTATAGGGTTGCTATGAGTCGGAATTGACTCGATGGCAACGGGTTTTTCAATGCTCTGGAAGTTATTTGCATCCATAGTATCTGTGTGGTAGAAATACTCCATAATGCTGTGCTGCTGTGCATCTCTTCCTGGCTCCTCCTTCAGTGTCGTCACAATGGGAGCCTGACACAGGCGATGGTGGGGAGTATTTACAACTGGGAATTGGCAAACGCTACAAATCAGGGCTTTGTAGAGAGCCGGTTGTTAAGAGTTCCCAGCACACCACTGTACTGAGGTGCATTGAGGAGGTAGGAGCATGAGTTCTGGAGTCAGGCTGACTCCACTTACTGCTGAGTGACCTTAGGAATTTACTCCTCCTCTGTGAACTCAGGGCAATCATAGCACTTACCTTAAAGTGTCACTGTGAGAATGAAATGAAATGACAGGCATGCACATTGTTAGAAGTACAGCCAAAAGTAGTTCTTCTCCGGCACCATTGTCTGCTTGACTGCCCTAGCACCAGCCCTGAGTCCAGGCTCTGCCATCATGACCTTTTCTGCGTGAACATTAGCACTTTAAGCTGACAAAGCACATTCACATAGCACCTAGGCTGAACCTCATTCCATGAGGCAGACAGGGCAGGGACTGTCGTTCCCATCTTACAGAAGAAGAAACTAGGGCTCAGAGAGTGACATACAGTATTGAGCCAGGCCCCAGCTCCTCCATGAGCCTGGGCCCTTTTCTCTGCACTTGGGGCTGCCCCATGTGTCCCCAGCCCAGGCTGCTCGGGACTTCCTGCCTCCCCTTCCCCTGCAGGGAGACCCTCTGGAGGAGGGCTCAGCCTCCCCGACGTCTCCAGACTACAGCCTGGACAGCCCCGGGCCGGAGAAGATGGCGCTGGCCTTTTCTGAGCAGGAGGAGCGAGATCACCCCACACTGAGCCGCCAGGCATCCACGGGTGAGTAGGGGGTTTGGGGGACTCCTGCTGGTCTAGAAGGAAGGGCTGGGTTAGGGCCACACAGGTGGGCTGTCTAGGAGAAGGGTAAGAGAAAAATGAACCTTTACTCTTTGCCTACTGAGAACTTTCCCAGTCCTCTTCATGTTCTATCTTCACAACAACCCCATGGGGCTGGTGCTATTTTTATCCCCAGTTTATTGATGGGGAAACTGAGGCTCAGGGAGGTTAAGTGGCTTGCCCAGGATGACCCAGCTAGTGAGTGGCAGTGCCAAAACTTGAACTCAGATCTGCCCTAGAGAAGCTTCTACTTGCTGTCCCCAGGCCCTGCAGGGGCCCAAGGGTAGAGAAAGAGCCTCATTGCCCTCTTGGACCAGCCCATTTCCACCCATTTCCTTCCAAGGGGAGCTAGAGGTTACAGCTCCCTGACCCTCCGACATCCCAGGCTGAGGGTTGGAGTGGGGTCTCCAGCTGTGAAGACTCAGCCTCTTGGACCTCAGACCTTGGTTTGCCAGGCTCAGGGTGCCACTTGGCATGTTCTAGAAGTCATTGGGGCTGGGCACGAGGTTCTGGCAGCCCTGCCTGGAGGAGAGCTTTGGGCCCTGGGCTGCAGCCCTGTAGGGGTACTGCCTTTCTCACCTCTCAGGGGCTGGCCTGTGATCACATTCCAAGTTCTCTGCTCTTTCTCTGGCTCCACAGACTCTTCCCTGCCCCACTGAAACCACTTAAAATGCCCCTCATCCTGCCCTTCCCAAGGAGAAAGAGCCCGTCTGAGTTTCCATGTGACATTGTGCCTAAACACTGAGTCTTTTCAAGTACAGAAAGTAAAATACTAATGCAGAGTGTGGCTTCCTGGGTGTCAGGAGGCCTGGAGTCTAATGGACACAGTGCTGCCCATTACAAGGCCAGAGTCCTTGGACAGGTCACTTTGACTGTCTGGCCTCACTTTTCCTCATCTGTTCATTGGGGTGTTGGCCCAGTTGGTCTCCGGAGGCCCTCCCAATTTACCCATTCTTTGGTCTGTGAGCTGTTTATCCTGCTGTCGACTATTTCCATGTCTGAGGCCTTAGAGGTGAAGCTGTGCTCCCGCAGGGCAGCCAAGGGGATGGGTCAGAACCAGTGGCATCACTAGGGAGGTGGGGGGGGTACAGGCCCCCCTGGGTGACACTGTCAGAGAGGTGACACCAAAATGACCGTCTATAAAAATATCCCTGTAGTTAGTTATAACAACAAAAACATTTTTCATAAGCCCAGCTTACATGTATCAATATACCTACAAGGCTAAAACTTTATGCTAATTTACTTTTTGAACCTTCTAATGCGCTCCAGTCAGAGCTGTCATTATTACGTAATTACAATGACACTTCAAATTACGTCATCCTCTGCACACACTACAAGCACACGCTATTGTTTTCGTTGCTGCCAGTGTTTCTATAGTTGCTGATTTTGTCAAATTTTCTGGTGTTTTAGTTACGATATTGTGGTAATTAATATTTGTGAACCTCTATCAATAACTTTTTTGTGAATAAGTAGTAATTAAAGGAAAAGAAGTACAGGAATTACCATTGACAAGTAACATTAGTTCAAAAAACATGCCTAGGGATTCTGTATGGTCTGGTATGGGAGGAGGTCCCTGTGGCGGGGGGGTGGGTGACACCATGAGTTACTGTACAGGCTGACACCAACCCTAGTGATGCCATTGGTCAGAACCCCTTCCACAGCGCGAGACTTGCCAGAGCTTAGCTTTCTTCCCCAGCACGTGTCCCTGGGATTTCTCGCCAGCCCTTCAGGAAGGCACATGCTAGGCACTGAATCAAAGGTGACCCTCCTCGCTACCCCATCTCCTGCAGGCAGTGAGCTCTGCAGCCCCAGCTCAGGCTCTGGCAGCTTCGGGGAGGACCCACCTGCCCCCCAGTACACAGGGCCCTTCTGTGGCCGGGCACGCGTCCACACCGACTTCACCCCCAGCCCCTACGACCGTGACTCGCTGAAACTGCAGGTAAGGTTGGCCTCTGGGCTCCTCTTGAGCCTGGCAGGCTGGACTCAGAAAGGAGACCAGATGGAGAGGGTAGTACAGTGTTGGCAGAGGCCAGGGAAGCACCTGTCCTCTCTCAGACCCTGCTCTCCTCTCCGCACACAGAAAGGAGATGTGATTCAAATCATCGAAAAGCCGCCTGTGGGCACATGGCTGGGCCTGCTCAATGGCAGGTTGGGCTCCTTCAAGTTCATCTACGTGGATGTGCTGCCCGAGGAGGCCGTGGGGCCTGCCCGCCCGAGCCGCCGGCAGAGCAAGGGCAAGCGGCCCAAGCCTAAGACCCTGCACGAGCTGCTAGAGCGAATCGGCCTGGAGGTGCGAGCTCAGGATGGCCTTCCCAGGGCCCCGGAAGCCAGTACCAAGGGAGACCCACTTGCCCCAGGGATGGGGGCCCGGGGACATTAGCTGTGCAAGCCCCTCAGCAGGGGTGGGTGTAAGTGGCCACGCCAGTAACCTATCTTCGGCCCACAGGAGCACACGTCCACCCTGCTACTCAATGGCTACCAGACACTGGAGGACTTCAAAGAGCTGCGGGAAACACACCTCAACGAGCTGAATATTGTGGACCCCCAGCATCGGGCCAAGCTGCTCACGGCGGCGGAGCTGCTGCTGGACTATGACAGTGAGTGGGCCCCGGAGCGGGTGGTGGGCATGGGTGCCGCTGCTGTTCTCTGCCCCCAGACTGCACTCTGCTGTGGGGCTCTCCTGCGGTGGGGAGGAACTTGCTCCACTTGAATTCAAGCCTCAGGGAGGGTTTGTGGGACAGAGGGGCTTTAGGGATTATCAGGTCCAGCCCTGCCTTTGATCAAAGGGAACACAAAAGGCCAGAGAAGGCAAGGCAGCAAAGCTAAGTAATAACAGAGCCGGGATTCAAGCCCAGTTTTCCTGGCTCCTAGCTTAGTGCTGATGATGTTTGGGCTTCTGGGCCATGCAGGTGGCCTGGAAACCACCCCAACTTGCTTCCAAGCGGGTGTGGAAGGCAGGGGTGGTGGTGGGTGCCCAGAAGGAGAGACACTGCTGACAGTGGGCTTCCCAGCATCCCCACCCCCACACAGAGGCTTCCCAGGGCTTCCAATCGCCCCCCCCCAGCTGAGGACCAATCCCCCCTATATTCTGTCTCTCCTCCCTCGCCCCTGGCAGCGGGCAGCGAGGAGGCAGAAGAGGGCGCTGAGAGCAGCCAGGAGCCAGTGGCGCACACAGTTTCAGAACCCAAGGTGGACATCCCGCGAGACTCGGGCTGCTTCGAGGGCTCAGAGAGCGGTCGCGATGAAGCAGAGCTGGCGGTCACCGAGGAGCAGCTGCACGGCCTCTCCTTGGCTGAGACATCTTGAGGTGGAGGCGGCAGTGCAGGCCGAGGCTGGGCCCGAGCTGCACGGGCCACGGGGATGGGCCTGGCCTCCTGTGGTGGCCCGGGCCCCGAGGACTGACCCCAAGCCTGGCCCTGCTTCTCAAGGGGCACTAGGGCTACAGAGGCCCGGCCTAGGCCCTACAGGCTCGGTTGAGCGGATGAGGGGCCGCCTGAGGGCACATCGAACCACCAGGAGCCCTCTCTTCACCAGCTACTGATAACAAAGCCCCTCTTGGCACCGCCCACTTCCCAGCCATAGCCATGGCCATATCAAGTGGGGCGCCAAGGGACCACCCCCATGTCCCTCACCATCAAGGCCCCCAAACCCTCCTCGCCCCTGTCACACTGCTCCTGCAAAGGGCACCAAGTCAGTGTTTCAGGTCGTCTCAAAACTCGAGGGAAGATGGCTGTTGAAAAGGACTCGAATTTACTCAGGTAAATCCAGATTTCTCCAAATGAGGTTTGAAGAAATCCATGTGTGTCCACTCTCCTTCTCCTTAACCTTCGTAGAGGTTTGACCACTAAATCACTATGTGAGCTGAGCTGAGTGCCTCTAGGCCTAGGACTGGTCAGAGTTGCAACAGAGGGTCTCTGAGGGCCTTGCCAGCTCTGACATTCTGTGACATTAAATGTCTCCTCTCCTGTTACCTGTGGCCCAGGACACCAGTGGGGTTTATTGACGGTCTGGAGGAGCCTCTGGCTCCCAAATGAAATGGCTCCTCCCACTCACCCATTTCGTGCCTCCCCACTAACTAAGGCCATGCTGCAACTCCCCCAGCTTGAAACCATGCTCATACCTCAGACAGTGCCTACCCTCCCCTTCCATTCCTGGTCCCCTCAAACGTGACTTCCCCCCAGGTTGATGGCAGATGCTCAGACCTGCCTTCCAAGGACAGAGCTGCCCCTATGTACCAGATGCACGTCTGGGCCTAGACTTGGCCACTTGTGTGGGTCCTTATAAGCAAAGAAAGCACTAAGCTTGACATTGGAGAGTCCACTACCCCAATTTTACTTTGCTAAAGGTTTTGGTGTACCCTGAGCTCCAGAAGGGAGCCCTGGTGGCACAGTGGTTAAGAGCTCGGCTGCTAACCAAAAGGTCGGCAGTTCGAATCCACCAGCTGCTCCTCTTTGGAAACCCAATGGGGCAGTTCTACTCTGTCCTATAGGGTCGCTGTGAGTCAGAATCCACTGGACAGCAACGGGTTTTGAGCTCCAGAAGTGGAGGGAGATTATCTGTTAGTTGGGGGCCTTGACCCCAATACCAAGTCTTTCCCCTGATTCCCCAGAGTATCCCTTCCCTGGTGTCCAGCCGACCTGTGGACAAACAGTGCCCACTACATCTACGACTGCCTGCTTAGTGGACACACTTCTTGACTTGTTACCAGGGACTTCGGTAAAAGCTAGCTTTGGGAAAGGGGTTGAGTGTAAATATGAGGGGGGTGGTGGAGGGAGCATGTTAGTAGCAATAAAGTACATAGGTAGAACTGAATTACTGTCTCCAGTTGTCTTCCTAATGGAGAGAGGTTGGGAGGGACAAACCGTTTCCTTCAAAACTGGCCTTCAACAAAAATGTTCCTCCATTGTCCTTTCAGGACCATTTTCCCTTCCCTAAAGATGCTCAGAGTCCCTGACCCTGCTGACTGAAAGCTCTAGTTTGAAGCCCTAGCTGGCTCTGCCCATCCCTCTAACCAGCTCTCCTCAGAACAGGGCTCCAGCTCCCATGGACCCAAGGCCTGGCTGAGATCTGAGATTAGGGGTCACTAATTCCCTCTTCCCATCATTGTTCATTTTAACAAGAGCCTTGAAGACCTTAACCCCAGTGAGGAAGGACCTGCAATGGGAGGCTGCCAGGGTTCAAGAAGGGGAGACTTAGGTTTAGCAGGTCCTTTCCTCTGTGGCTACCTTTTCCCGGGCCCCACCCTATGCCCACTGAAGCTACACCATCTCCTGGGAGGTGCGATGGAGACAAAGACGTCTAGTTTCCTTTATTTACGAGCATTATCTGCACTTGTTGTTGTTAGCTGCTGTCGAGTCGGCCCCAACTCATGGCAGCCCCATGCACAATGGAAGGAAATGCTGCCTGATTCTTCATCCCCAAGATCAGTTGTAGGCTGGACCATTGTGATCCATAGAGTTTGCATTGGCTTATTTTCAGAGGTAGATCACCAGTCCATCTTAGCCTGTCAGCTCCACTGAAACCTGTTCAGCATCATAGCAACACACAAACCTTCACTGACAGATGGGTGGTGGCTGCACATGAGGTGCACTGGCCAGGAATCAAACCCAGGTGTCCCTCATGGAAGGTGGGAATTCTACCACTGAACTTGCTGTTGAGTGCACTCTGACTCATGATAACCCCGTGTGTGTCAGAGTAGAACTGTGCTCCATAGGGTTTTCAATGGCTAAGTTTTCAGAAGTAGATCACCAGGACTTTCTTCTGAGGCATCTCTGGGTGGCTTTGAACCTCCCATCTTTCAGTTAGCAGCTGAGTATGTTAACAGTTTGTACCATCCAAGGACTCCCATCACCCAAGAGAGAGCTGCCACCAGGGTGAGGTGAGGCAACTCTGCTCCCAGGTCTTATTCCTCAGCTGTACTCATCCTGTCCTTAGAGACTATGGGCATCAAGAAAATGGAAAATAAAAGTCCTATCCTCACCAAATAGACAAGGAAGCCCAAACAGCTTCAAGTCCCAAACGGCACTGAATAATTGCCATCATTTAGTGAGCACTGACATAACCATATATTATATCATATAATCCACACTGGACACCTGTGAGGTAGGCACTATCATCATCCCAATTTACAGAGGAGGAAACTTAGGTTGAGAGATTAAAGAAGTTGACTAGGAAGTCATAGAGTGAGGAGTCTGCCTGACTTCAGAGTCCAGGCTATCAAGCTCTATACTAAATGGCTTCTCAAAAGGCCTCATCTGACAAGCTTTCAAAGGCACAATCTGACCCTCTTTAATGTTCAGACCCTGTGACCCAGCCATTCTTCTTCTAGGATTTGATCTACAGAAATATTCACACAAGGGTGCAAAGATATACAGGCAAAGATATTCACAACAGCTTTGTCTGTACTAGTAAACAATTGGAAACAATACAAACACGGAATTAAATACATTAGGGTTTGTCTTAGGCTGGGTTCTCCAGAGAAGGAAAACCAGTGAAGCGGGTATATATATATATATATATATATACACACACACACAGAGAGAGAGAGAGAGAGAGAGAGATTTATCTCAAGGAAGTGTCTCACACAGTTGTAGAGGCTGGCAAGCCCCAAGTCCATGGGTCAGGCTCAGGCTGGAGCTTCTCCTAACTCACATAGCTGCAGGGGCTGACGAATCCAAGATCAGCAGGTCAGACCGCAGGCTGTTGGCTCAACTCCCAAGAACCGGAGGTCAGATGATGATGAGCCGGGTGCAGGATTCAGAGCAAGCAAGTGAGCTTTGCCAGAACATCCATATATATATAGGATGCAGGCCACAGCCCCAAGAAAACTCCCCTTACAACTGATTGGTTGATCACATCAGATCACATCATGGAGGATGACTACATCATTACATAACTGCCAAACTACATCATTAGATAACTGCCGAACCACTGAGAATCATGGCCCAGCCAAGTTGACACACAACCTTATCCATCACAGGGTTCATTCATACAATACCATGCAGCCATTAAAAATGATGTAGAAAAAGATTTAGTGACATGGGGAAAATCATGATTCTTTAATTCTTTAATTTTAAATGTTAAGATTATACAAATAGTGTACAAACATTCTTGTTGTAAAAGAATTTCATGCTGTATCAAGGGAAAAATAAATACTAAAACATGATTTATAGAGTGATTCCATTTTTATTTAAGAAAAAGAAAGACATACACACAGAAAAAAGGCTGAGAGGCTGTGCGCCGAATGGTTAACAGTGGTGATCTGGTGAGGGAAGTGGGTGGGGCTAGGGGAAGTGAGGGAGGGAAATGTTCACTTTCTATATTTTTATTTTATTTGAATTTTTAAAGTATTATTACTTTTACATCCATAAAAATGAACAATATTTCATTTTTTAAAAAAATTAAAGCAAATAGGGCCCAAGCTGCTGGCCTACCGTTTGGGGTAGCAGCAAAGCCATTATCCTGCTGGGCATCTTTTGGCAGAGGCTTCTGGAAAGATGGCCAGGAGAGGGATAATGCCCACGGTGTGTAAAAGCCACACATACCACAGATACCTACACCTTTTAAAACCCCTGAGTAATGCCTATCTAAGAAGCCCTGGTGATGCAGTGGTTAAAGCCCTCAGCTGTTAATTGAAAGGTCGGCAGTTCAAACCCACCAGCCACTCTATGAGAGAAAGATGTGGCAGTCTGCTTCTGTAAAGATTTACAGCCTCAGAAACCCTATGGGGCAGTTCTACCCTGTCCTATAGGGTCACTATGAGTTGGAATCAACTCAGTGGCAGTGGGTTTGGTTAATGCCTATCTATTAGCTCTAAGGTGAGGAAAGGAAAAAATCAGATAAAGAGGAATGACTGAGAAAAAGCTGTTATGGAAATCTCCCCTGTCCTGGGGGATAAGAGTATCTCAGGGCTTGGGGGTGGGGGATAAATACAGGCTTAATTTAGTTTGTTGTGCAAAGGCACCAAAGATCACAGGGCTTTGGGAGGGGCAGTGAGACGGGGCAACTAGGATTATAAACCACAGGACAGGCCCTGAGAGGTGAGAAAGGCAGTACCCCTACAGGGCTGCAGCCCAGGGCCCAAAGCTCTCCTCCAGGCAGGGCTGCCAGAACCTCGTGCCCAGCCCCAATGACTTCTAGAACATGCCAAGTGGCACCCTGAGCCTGGCAAACCAAGGTCTGAGGTCCAAGAGGCTGAGTCTTCACAGCTGGAGACCCCACCCCCACTCTCAGCCTAGAATGTCAGAGGGTCAGGGAGCTGTAGCCTCTAGCTCCCTTGGAAGGAATTGGGTGGAAATGGGCTGGTCCAAGAGGGCAATGAGGCTCTTCCTCTACCCTTGGGCCCCTGCAGGGCCTGAGAACAGCAAGTGGAAGCTCCTCTAGGGCAGGTGAGACCTAGCAGTTAGGCGCTAAGGCAGACATGAGTTCAAGTCTTGGCACTACCACTCACTAGCTGGGTCACCTTGGGCAAGCCACTTTACCTCCCTGAGCCTCAGTTTCCACATTGATAAAGTGGAGATAATCGTACCAGCTCTATGGGATTGCTTTGAAGATTTAATGAAATAGTGTATATAAAGCACTTAGCATAGTGCCCAGCACGTAACAAATGCTCAATGAATGATTACACGCCCCATCCTCTAAATTTGCACCATGTTACTTCCATTTCCCTCCCTTCAAGGCCCATCCCACTCATGACCCCTAGTTAGTGTAGTGGCCAAGAGCAAAGGCTTTGGAGCGTTCAACTAACGTGTTTGCAAATCCGGGCTCCACCACTTACTGGTTACATGACTTCAGGTAAGTTGCATACATACACATTTCTGTTCAGTAAAATAGGAATAATGATCTAATAATATCTACCCCATGAAGTTGTTAGAGGAATAAATGAGATAACGTGTATAAAGTTCTTGGTACATAGTGACAATAAATGGTGACCATTAGACCTTTTTGTAACCTCCAGGATACTGTGTTCCAGACTGGGCAGAAAGGCCATGTCAATATGTGCTTGTCTGCAGACTGACTGACATTCATGGACCTGGCATACCCAGAAGCAAACTGATAGCCAAGCCCCCAGAGGGTTTTGGGATTCAGGGTAGAGGTCCAGAGAGGCTAGGGGTGGAGAGAAAGCCCACTTGAGGAGCCTGGGGCAGCCCTTGTTCTACTCAGTCCAGAGGAAGAAGACTAGCCCAGGGCATTAGACTTATTTTGGGCAACTCCCTTGGACTCCCAAGGGCTGCTGGGAGAAAGAAGTTAAAGAGCCATTTCAAGAAGACAGAGTTAGAGCCCAGCCAGCTCACCAGTTCAGAGTTTGAGGTCCCTCCCTCCCTCCCATTCCACCAGGCGAAACCGCTTGGGGCACTGGCTTATCCTGGCTGACTCTCTTTCTCCCCTCTCGCTCCCTGCCTCTCTTTCTCACAACCTTACCTTAGACTACCCCAGGTAGGTTCTGATCAGTTCTCCCAGAGTCCTCCACACACAAAGGCTGCTGCCTCCACAAATGCCCTCTCCTCCCTGAAAACCCTATAGCAGTCTGATGTGATACATGGCACCGAGGCCCCAGTCTCTGCTAGTCAGCTTCCAACCTCTCACCGTGTCAAGGTTTTTCACAGAAGTTGGAGGCTGTAGTTGGGCTGTTAGAGACCAAGGGCGCTAAAATGAAGTTTCTGGAGGGTGGAAAAAAAAGCACGGATCACCATAGTCTCAGCAAGGTCAAATACCACCAACCCCCAAGTCAGGAAATTCAGGATGAGGTCTGAGGTTTCCCAGCTGGGGAAAAGAAGTGGCTCTCACACCTCTCCTTCACAATAGAGGTTACCTTACCTTCTCACACCACAGCACCCGCGCTACGTATTATTCAGCCACCAACACAATCAAGTGGGAAGGAACTGCTTCCCATCTAGACGCAGCCAAGACTCCTCCTCCAGGAAGGCGCTAAATAAATGGAATTCTATAGCACTTGATACGTAGGCTTCACCTTTTCCTATAACTTCACAGTTACCAATACAGCATTTGTATACCATTGCCTCTGGGACCTGCCAGGCATAGCTCAGAAAGAGCCCAGGGCAATGGCCCTCACAAAGGGACGGCCAGCTTGAGTGTGGGAACCCAACAAGGCAATTTCCTGACTTTCTGTGCTAATGAAACCCCACCATCAGTTCAACCAAAGTGCAGGGGTCTGGAGAGAGATTTAAGTTTAAAACAAAAACCAAATCACCATCCCTATATCAGCCCAACTCTATGCCTAATATGGAACGATCACTGATAAAATGAATCCTAAATGGCAAATAATCCTAAAATCGTTGCAGTTTCTCAGTTTACAAGATAATGAGATCAGCAGTGCAATTTCTTCTAAAGTTAATCCCAGTACATGGTCAATATTTAACATGTATTTATTGAATACTAAATCAATGAAACGCTC